TGATCAAATTGAGTAACCTCCTCCTTTTTCGAAGTCGGTTAAAAAATTTGGAAATTTAGGATTTTGCAAAATTGAGAAATTGAGAATTCAGGAATACAAAAATTTGAAAATTTAGGAATTTGAAAATTTGGAAATTTGAGAATCTGAAAACTTGAGAATTTGAAAATTTGGGAATTTGAAAATTTGGACATTTGGAAATTTGAAAATCTATGTTCCGAGTTGCTCGGAATATTATTAGCGTAATATTTATGGGTGTTTTGTCAAACCTAAGAGCGCTTCACTCTTGCAATTTCAAACGGATTTTTAAGACCACATGGACGTCTCCACAGCTGGACGTTCTAACTATTGACAATAGCCTTCTAACAGGCCAGAAAAGCACGTTTTCTTAACGCCAATATATCTTTTCTTAAAGAAGTTTATTTCCATGGTCCTAAACTGTGCACCCCTGCGGTGTGCAATGTTTACGAAAATCCTTGCGTACTCGGCGGGCCAAGGCACTCGGGCTCGATCATTCAGCAGTCTTGCAGTGTATCCCAACACTCAGTTCTTTTGAAGGACCCAAATCACTTAACTGTTTGGGTCACCTTATTAACGAAACGTTATTTACAACCCTGGAGTGAAGGCTAAAAATCTTACAATCTCATTGGCTGAACCATCTCACCAATCACTATTCTTTACAAATAACAATCTGTCCTGATTGGTCCTTTTTGGTAACGCCTTCACGTCCTGAACTTCCTCCATTGCTTTCTTTTCTGACTTTTTAGAGGCGACTGGTTAGTCTTAAACTACCTTCGGTGAAACATACTCACTTTTACAAACCATAGTCACTATCAACATACAACAATCATTACTACTAGTGGGATGATGATCTACATCCTTCATTGACCTGGACACACCAGTGTGGAGGACTCTGAGCCACTCTATAAATTCTACTCTACAATAATAATTCTACATATAATTCCACCACCGTAACAAGTTGTGGAAACGCCATGGGTCGACGAAGATTAACAACCTTCGAAAACAGCTACAAATAGTTTATATTTTACCCATCGCGCGAACAATCTGAAAACTTGAGAATTTGAAAATTTAGGAATTCGTAAGCTTGACAATTTCTTAATTTAAAAATTTGTGAATCTGAAAATTTAGTAATTACATAGTTTGAGAATTTGAAAACTAGTAACCTTGAAAATTAAAAAATGTACTAGTCTACAAATTTGGAAATTTTGAAACGCTATTTAATAACTAAATCATTAATATCATTAATTACAAAAATTATTCATTAAAATCGAAAAATATTAAATCATGTTAGGTCACATTGATTTACCAACATTCTATAACACATTAGTGTCAGCATCAACCTTCATAATTATTTACTAACAGAAACATCACATGTTATCAATTACGATAAATGATGAAATGCTATGATAAATTGAAATGGCCAGACATAGCAATAATTTAATTTAGTATAATTAAATGTATTTGATTAATAACATAGAACATTATTATTTAATTACATTTGAGTGAATGGTTTCAATTTATGTAGTACTATTACAGAATCAATTTACCAAATTTTAATTAACGAGCAGAGACAAGTTTCAAAAAGAATCATACAGCAGAAACGAAACGCTTTTGTATAATAAATTGTTAAATTTTTGTTCACTGATTGAATGCGTAGGATAGATTTTACGATCAAAGCATTTCTCTCGTTATTTTTCTTGTTGGTACATAAACGAACAATGCCAAATGGCCCATTGTGCATGCGTTCGTCACAGAGGCATTAAATGGCGTGTAGAAAACAATACCAAAGCTATTTCGCTTTTTAATCTATACGCTTTTTAATATATACGTACATTACCTATTAGTATGTATTTAAGCACCTTGTACAACACAACATCCAATATTTGCATTTCAACCAGTTTAATACAGTTTAATACAGTTTATTACTGATTTGATATAATAATATCGAAAATAAATGCTCGGACAAATTTCATGACATATAAGTAACGTAGTAGAGCGCTTATGAGATATCAATTTAACCAGTTAACTGCGGCGATTTTTTTGCAAAGCGTGCACCAGTGTGTGTCGTGATAATCAAGCGATGACAAGTTAGCTCTCAAGAAATTATGAATCCATCTCAAATCATTTACACTTTTTGTTTGTTTGTTTCATTTCGTGTTAACCTCTAAACATTTTAAACATATTACAATTTATGAATATAATTTAGTTTTCGCTAAAATTACAATTTAAATATCAAATTGTAACAAAATTTTACGTATGACGGATATAGTCGTCATGACACAAAATTCTGCCACATCTCCATGACGGATTTAGTCGATAAACACACTTAACTGGTTAAAGCTTAGGTATAACAGGAAACTATTCTAGACCTTCGATAATATTTTAAATATTAGGGGTACCGAAAAGTAATCAAAATTTTGTTTGCTGGAGAAAAATTTTATTTATTAAAGAAATCTTAAATCTTCTAACGCTTTTTGCCAGCGTTAAGGCAATTGTTCCTTTCTTAAAAAAAGTCCTTCAATTCTTCATAGAAGAACTTTGAAATCATCGACGAAATTTTGAATACTTTTCGGTACCCCTAATATAAATAACTGATTGCCGATTACAGAAAACAATGTTTGATTTCGAAGTAGAGAATCTGACACAAATTGTTGACATTAAAGTACCTAAAATATTTATGCTGTGTCAATTTGAAGCATAAATGAAAATAAATCTAATGGAAATTAGTACATGAATATGTTTCTTAAAAATAAATGTTACGGAATCTTCTTTGTCTTAAGCCGTAGCACATCAAGAATACGACTTTGAAACATCGAAAGTCTAACAAGATTTGGTTACATAAAAGTACTATAAAATATCGCGTATGTTGTATCAACTTATATCAACTATATCAACTTGAACTTAAGGTTCAATGAAAATGACTACGCAAACGTTTTAGTAATATTTGAATTGCGAGATGGCTGTCACGTACTACAAACAATGATCGAT